ATGTGCCTACCCTAGGACCTTGTACTTGCATTTCCAGGTGTCTAATATTTTGAGGTAGCAACAAAGATGTGAAAAGATGTGTGCTCTCCGTACTGCTTATTACTGCAGTATTATTTGCAAGAGTGAAACATGGAAAATAGCTTCCATTAATAAGTAATGAGTCAATACATTTTGTGTCATCTGTAGAAGAGAATAGCATCAATACCACTGGCTGCTAAGAAGGAGATAAAACCTAATACGCTAACTTGGAAAAAGGTCTATGTTTATCTGGTTAAATGTTAAAACAGGAAATTTTATGTATATCACCTGTCTGTCTATAGACCTGCTATACATTTTTATTAATTAAAGAATTGTATATACATGTGAAAAAGTCTGGAAGCATATCATGGGGCTGTATATGGTAACTATTCCTGAGGGGGAAATTTGGAGTAGTTATAGGGAATCTTTTACTTATATTTTAAATATGCCCCCCCCAAAAAGAAGAAAAATAAGAAGTGGGGGTGATAAAGAGTAATTTCTATTTTCTAAATGTGCTTTTTTCACCTTTTCCAATTTATGAAAATTTTCAAACATACAAAATATTTACTATAATGAACACCTGTGTAGCCACAACCTATGTACAACAATTCTTAACAAGATTATTTTCTATTTTACACAATTCCCCCAATAAATGTGTGTTGCTTTTGTAATTAAGAACAAGAATTATTTGAGGTACAGGTTATAAGAAGACTTGGAAACATTTTTTTATACACAAAAAGAACTTTCCTCCCAACCTAGGCTAATGGACACAGTTCACTTTGGTTTAACATGTAACTCATCTATCAACTCATCTTAGTGCACACCCAGCTACTGCTGTCCACAAAGATGTATGAGGATTAATAGAGGTTTATTTTAAAACCATCTTTTTTTTTTAAGATTTTATTTATTTTACTTAATAGAGAGAGAGAGAGAAACAGTGTGAGAGGGAACACAAGCAGGGGGAGAGGGAGAGGGAGAAGCAGGCTTCCAGCCGAGCAGGGATCCCGATGCGGGGCTCGATCCCAGGATCCTGAGATCATGACCTGAGCCGAAGGCAGTCACTTAACCAACTGAGCCACCCAGGTGCCCCTAAAACCATCTTTTAATAAGTGAGTATTTTCCCTTCCTCTGTAGAGCTTACAGACTTATAAAACTTGATTAGCAGTTAATAAATCTATCAAATTCTTCAACATCTCTCTCCTTTTCTCATTTTATTCAATTTTCCATTTGAAGTGATAAGTCTAACTTTAGCTAAATGATACCTTCTTATATACTTAGGACTCTAATTTTGTAGGTCATGGGTGATACAAACAATGGTACTTGAATTGCATATTTCATACTAGTTCTTACTGACCCAGTATATCAATAAATGATGACTAATTATTGCCAACTATCTATTTTTTAATAGATTGTGTAGTTTAGGTTCTAAATATAAATTAGTTGAATACTGCCAGCTCTAAGAGACAGTATTCTGGTTACTAAGCATATTCATGGGAAACACCTACAAGCAGAGTACTACCTGCTCTCCTGAGGGTGTTAGCCTTCCTCACCCTGTTCAGATGCCTGAATACAGCATTTCACTAATACAGTGACTAGATTGTCATCCAAAATTTGGAAAGTGTGCTAAAGCAATGTTTTTCTTTTTCTCACAACCTTGCAAAGATCGTTCTACTGAAAACAACAGATTTCTCTGCCTTTACTTGGTGCCTTAGTGGAGAGACAGTGGACAGGAATCTGATGTTTCCTTTTCCTGACCCAGTGATAGGTCCGTCTGTAGTACTGCAGTGAAGGGTATATTTCTTTGAAGTATTTAAACTTTCAGGATACTGTATTTATATGGACTTTGGAATATATTTTCAATACCTTTGGAGTATGGGGTAGAATTGAGGGAAAATCATCTGCCTCCTTATATTCTAGGCTCTTCAACAAGAAGAAATACTTAAAAAGTAAATAGTTTTTCCATTCCCAAGATATTTTTTTAAAACGAAAGTAGAATTTATAGAATTAGTGAAGTAAATGATGTGCTTCCTTTACCTTCTGAAATACCTTTCATTTCAAATGGAAGTCTTTGATATTTTATCTTTCTCAACAGATCCATCGGAAGTGGAAGTGAACTTGCTTTCATGAACAAGTTCAGATGCTAGGGGCTGATACATGAATCACACGTTTTTTATTTCATTGAAAGCCATTTGTTTGGAGTGAAGGTGTGGGTGGTTAATTCCCAACTTATGCATGCCATTAATAAGAATTGTCAAAATTTATGTTTGTGGATAAACGATTTTACTTCCAAAGGTATGGTGTATATAAAAGCACATTTCAGACAGTAAGAGGGTTTAAAATCCAAAAATTAAGGAGCATCATATCATTTGCTGTGCAACACCTAGTAAAGGGATCATTTTATTGCATCAGCCAGGAAAGCCATTGATTATTTGTGAACAAGAGGAGAGGAAAAAACACAAAAATGTTATTTGGTCAACAACCCTACTTATTATCCTACTGGCAAGTAATTAAGGCGATTTGTAGCCATTGCTTAGAATCTGTACTGGCTGAAGCAAATGGTCACATTATTATGAATTTCACATTAATAGCTGAGTCTATATTCTTTGTCAACTGGTGAAATTTTCAGGACAGCAGACCTGGGAGCTTGGGAGGTAAATAGACTGTTTCAACAAATCAAGCTCAAGTAGATTGCTTACCTGAGTTAAAAGGCACAACACAGTGCTTCCTCAGTGAGCAGATGTCCTAGGACCTTAGGACAGTATCTCCTGTTCTATTTTCTTCCTCTATTAAACTCCTTTCTCCCTCTTTATTGATTTTGCCCACTTTATTTCATTACCCATTTGATGTAATAAGTCTAACCTTCGTTAAATGATACCTCCTATAAACTTAGGCCCCCATTTCAGTTTTGTAAAGCTGTTGATGAGATAAGCAATGTCCCTTCAACTGCAACATTCATTCTCCTTTCCATCTACTTCTGTGAAATTTAACAAGCTCTCTCCATAAATGGATCTCATATTCCCACATACACTGGGTAAATTCGATTCTTTATAAACTTTTTTTTGATTTGACCATATTTGCAAAATTGCCCATAAAAGCAAGAAGTACTTAATAGATAGAGGTCTCTTGGTTGAAGTCATTTCTATTCCCTTCCTTGTTTGTAGTTGCCAGCACTCTGCTAATAATCCTTTCTACACAGTTCCCATTCATGCTTCCTATTTATTACTGGAAACATACTCTGTTGGTGCTGGAATAGATGAGGGAGAGCACTCTTACTGCTCTTTTTCTTCTGGGGCTATCTTTGACTTTCCATTCACCCTATTCTATGCTTCTGTCTCTACTAGAAGACCAAGGTTGTTTCCAATACAGATCACATTTAACATAAAAGCCAGAAGGGGCAGGGCAGAGCAGCAAAATAACAGTCATTCTCTATTTCCACAATGTGCTGCTCTTGTAAAGAAATCCTGTAACACGTCATCTATGTGGCTTTTAGGTCCTCTATACATTGGTTTGGCCAAATTGAAAAGTTCATGAATTCCTGGGTCCATTATTATGAAGTTGCCTATAGCCTAAAGAAGTAGTACACTACTATTTCAGAAAGTGAACTGAGAAGGTTTATTACAGAAACTCAAATCACATCCAGTTGCCTTAATGGGATAGCTAGATAAAAACTCAACAAGGAACATCTACAAGACTACAACAATCCCAGAGGACTGCATAAGTTTGTTTAATCATCATCACACGTGCATAGTCCACATTTATCAGCCTCTTAAAAAAATACATACAGGAGATTTTTGGCTACATGAACATTTTCTTCTACCTTCATGCTGTTGGAGGTATATCTTTGCTTTTAAAAAAAACTGATTTTTAAAAAGTCTAACCTCCTTTGAGATAGAACTTTAAAAATGACCCACATTTATGATGATGATTTGTATAGCCACTTTGAAAATGCCAGATGCTTCTTTCAACTGAATTGTTACTAGTTACTATGATACGTCTACATGTAAAAGAGAAAATATGCCAAACACAATACGTTGTATTCAAGTCAAAGTAATTCACTGCAAATGCGTAGTTTGACAAATTTGTAGTATATCCTACTGTGAGTTAGGACGTCCATCTGACACATTTGCCAACAATTTGGTGAACAATAACATAACCAAATTTTAATCAGACTTTAGATCAGTTCTTTACTTTCTTAATTATCCTTAGGGATTATGACAGTGCCACTCAGTTTTATGTTTTTAGATCTCTTTACTACTTATGATTTTCCACTCATTTGGTATAAATAAAATTTACTTGAAAGAAAGCAAAATAGAGTTAGCCTCGAATTAATAATACTGTACAAAATGCCCCTCAGCAGGAATGACATGTTTGCTCTGTTGAAGCACTTAATGTCCTTTAAGAAACAAGTATATTTTTCTTATCCTCAATCACTTTATGTGCCTCCCCACAAGAAACCTAAATTGGCCAGTTACATGCAGTATAGGTAATTTTTGAAAAGAAATTAATTTTTGCCTCACTTTGTTTCTTTTCCTCTTACCCCCCCTTTCTTCAGTGAAACATAGACGCAAATTAATAGGAAAATACAAAATAAATCTATTCTTTCTCCATGGAATGAATGATGCAACACCCATCCATCCATTCATTCACTTTATGAGAAACTGAATTCTTGCCAGACAGATGTCATTAAAAATAATAAACTGTGTTAAACCCCCCAAATGGTAGGTATTCTTGCAAGACTATAGTTTTTCCAAAATTTGAAGATGAATTACACGTTTTCTCTTGTCTACTCCACCTCAGATTTGCAAAAAGAACTTTCCTTTCAAGACTTATGTATGGTGAATCTCAATAATATTACAATTAAAATCAAGATAAACAAAATTGTTCTAAATAAAGTGATGTATTTATCTCCCAAAACAATATCAGTTGGCCATAAAACTTTCAGTAAATACTGTATTATGGACAAGATGAGTCCTGCTTCTTACCTGGTGTTTGAAAATTAAGGCGCCTCAGTTCTACTGGGTCTGTTGGATGGTGTGAAGGGACCTCCTTACTGTTGGGTATGCTGCTCTTTCTAGAGTCAGACTCTGCCCTCTTCCTATAGGGAGAAAATAAAAATGTAAGAATAAAATTTAAAAAAAAACAATAAAAACACTTAAAAAGCAGAGAGTCATGCAGCCCCCTCTCCCTCCCAACTTTCTATTTTGAACCATTTGACAGATCAGTTTTGTGACCTTGTTCAGGTTGCTTTTCCTCTCTTGGCCTAGACTGTTTCCTCAAGTCTAAAACTTTTATTTAAGTGAATGATCTCAAAGTCTGCTCTAGAATTAAATTCTTCATTGCCTCTGCCTTTAGGCTTTACGGGGGGTGTTGGAGAGATAAACTTGAGTCCTTGTTCAGCAAATCTCCTTTATCCACTGGTTCAATTTGTGAGGAACAGGACAGAGTACTGCTAATAGCCAATACTAATAGAGTACTAATAACCATGAATGTGGTTACCATAGAGAAAACCTCTGAAACTACTGAGCCTCAAGCTGAAGAGCTAAATCCATACCCCCTTTTTCCTCTTTCCAAGATTATATGACTGATGGCTACAAAGAGGCCTGCACTGGATTTTCCCATAAGGCAACAAATACAGTTTGTTCTAAGATTCCAAGTTAGCCTAACACCCGGAAGGAGAATTAGCACGATACAAGACCAACATCCCCTTTCTCTTTCAAATTAAAAAAAAAAAAATAGTGTCGGCTGTTTGTAGTGTTAAGCTGTGATTAATATTTCATTAATGAAAGTCAATCACAGAAAGATCAGAGAAAAAGTAATTTCACCTACTGTGTCTCACTTTTCCAATGATTATTCATGGCATAGGAACCATTAATAGTGCCTTGTTATAAGTAATTCTTCACACAATTCATTTCTTCTTTGTTTTAATTACTATCTACCAGTTTTATTAAATACCTTTGTTTAGGGTGTGTAATATAATATTAAAAAGTGTCTATGCAAGAAAGGTCAGGGTTTTTTTTTTCATAAGATTTCTTATTCATTTTTTTCAAACCCCTCAAACACAGAGTACTACCTATATTCTTTAAGGTTAAATTAGATCAAAAACTGAGGAAATGGAGGCCTTTTCAAGCAGTGCTTTATTCTGTATTTATTATTCAAATACTGATTCCAACAATCTCCGGGCTGCAGTCATAATCCTAGCATCTCACCCTTTTTCAAAACAAAGACATTCTTCTTTGGGGAAAGGGGCACAGCGGTGTTGAGGAACACTCCCTTCTCTTTCTGATATGGCTGTCGCACAGCTCATTAGCGTTGCTGTGGCAATGGGATCTCATTCAGTGCCACCCAGGTCGTTCCATGGTTAGCCAGAGGGCTCCTGTTAAATAGCCTTTCTTTCCATCTCTGCTCATCTGTATAAAATAAAACTAACCAGGGGATGAAGGGAAGATTGATGCAAAGGGAAAGCACACTTGATTTGCTCAAGTGCATGCCTTCGGCAAAACAGCGTTGATGGAATACATTTTCTTGGGTGAGTCCTGTTAGGCAACTTCCTCTTTCAGAACCTTGGATTAACCTGTCTCAGGATTTCCCGTTTCTACCTAAGGTGTCAGGTATAGCCTGAGGACAGAATGTACTGCCAAGCTATACTACCAATTGGAGGTGAGCAGTGAATCTGAGGTGTGCCAAAGGTACTGGCACTTCCAGTTGTATGGAGTGGAAAATGAAAACAGAAAGAAAATCAGAGCTGAGGGCTGGCAAGAAAGATAGGAGAGGAAAGGGAAAGAGTGGCTTGGAAGGCCATGTATGTGAAAGAAGGACATGGTGACCAGTTTCAGAGTAGAAAATGTCCCTGTGTTTAGGCTGTGGGTATTTCCCTCACAGAGATTCATTTTACCACCAAAGATTCAGAATCTAAACAGGCTAATGAAATGCCACCAACTGCTAGTCAGTCAGTCCCACGTGTAACAAACATAGGCTTGGTTATTCTCACTTCAGGGAACCCCACGGGTCCTTCTAAGGTTTGTTTGTTTGTTTGTTTTTCCCCATATGAGTCAGCACAGATACATTTCTTTACTGATGTACCAGACCTAATGATTCAAACCTGGATTTTTATCCCTTCTCAAAATGTCTCCACTGTCATTCTTGCAGGATTATGGAACCAGATGGAGAAATTTCTGGGCAAGGAAACTAGGTCACTCCTGCAGGTATTGTGGGGCATACTCCTTATCTTCTTTTTCACTGAGGCCAGGCTGAGTGATGCTGAGACAAAGGGGCAGAAAAGAATACTCTCTAAAGAAATTTAGTCTGTACTCTGGTGCTAGGAAAGGTGAACATCACATCTTCTTGCCCAGATGAATCTCAAAACCCAGAGCTTGGGCCTAAAATTGCAGTTTATAATTGTGATAAAGTGGGGGGAGGTTTCCCTGACATTTAATAACTAACTTCTTCCTCACTTTATCTATTCAAAGAAATGACCTCCAAAATCTCAGATTCTAAAAATCCTAACCATCTCAGAAAACCAGCTGTTTAAATTTTGTTTTGCTTAGTTTAGTTCTGGTGATCATAACATGGATAATTGTGGCTGCCCACACTTTTGTCACATTATTTTTAAACATAAATGTGCTAAAATGGTTGTTTTCCAACAGAAAGGATTCCTAAGAAATGTTTGCAGGATGAAGAGTTTGATCATCATTGGTAATAATGATAAAGAGCTTCAAAAACAGAATTTACTGCCATACAGTATTAAGTGGCATATGATGGTTTAAATCAGGGCCAACATGAATGGACGCAGTCACATGTTTTTCCTAAGTTTCAGAGGTCTCATTATTCTCATTTTCAATGAGAAAAAAGCAAAGAATAGTAATTCCAAAATGATTTGAATTTTGCCTTGCTATTTTATTTTTTCTATTAAGATTATAAAGTCCTATTGTAAGTTTATTTCCTGCAGAGAGAGATATCTGCCACATGTAGGAGTTATATGGGTGAAAAGGAAATGCAAGGTTACATGACATTTCAGATATGGTGGAAACTGCTAGTAGTGTAAAAACGTGTGGTAGTTTGGAATGTGGATCACACACTGTGATCACAAAAATGCTACTCTGTGGTCTAAGGGGCTTTTTATTTTCATTTATTCTCACCTGGCTCTCATCTAGGGAGAAAGTGGGAGGGAATCTACTTACTGAAAACAAAGATATTCAGACATATGGGCCAAGGCTTTTGGAAGACAGATATATTTATCTGAAACCCCTACTATTAATATTCAAAGAAGTCAGTTCAAACACTTTATGATTTTTTTTAAGATTTTATTTATTTATTTGACAGAGAGACAGTGAGAGAGGGAACACAAACAGGGGGAGTGTGAGAGGGAGAAGCAGACTTCCCACCGAGCAGGGATCCCGATGCGGGGCTAGATCCCAGGACTCTGGGATCATGACCTGAATCGAAGGCAGACACTTAACAACTGAGCCACTCAGGTGCCCCAACACTTTATGATTCTGATGCCTTTAAGAATACAACCCCACTCTGCCACTACTGGTGTGTATCTTCTTGGGGAAGTCAACTATAATACTTATCAATTTCTTCATGTACAAAAGAGAAGAAGAAGGTTAGGAGATGATGTCTAGGTTAAATGTTCTAATTCTTTAGAAGTTGAATTTGTCTTAATTTATATATTTTATAAAGAATAAAGTTATTGAAGGAAATTTCTAGTCCTTTCATGTATACATTAGATGTATGCATTTGTAAAGTTACCCACATATGACTTAGATAATTCCAAAGCATACTACATAAAGTATCATTTAATTAAGAAAATTATAAACTCATTTTTAGTACCTTGAATATGCAATAAATGTTTAATTAATGGTTCTGAAAAAAAAGAGAGCCAACTCTCTCATCTTAATGGAACCAGAGGCAGTGATAATATTATAAAATGTGGATAGTATTAAATGGGAAGGTAGATCTCTGAGTATATTAAGTGGGTTTAAAGTGTTTTATGTTTCAACTAAAAAACAAAACAAAAAATAAACCTACTTTGCATGTGTTTTTAGCTGGATTAATGACAACTAGTGGTATTAAAAAAAAAAAAGACACCCTACCCAAGTGCTAAGTTTTCTATCAATGAAAGTAGCTTGCTGACCATTGTTTAGCTGATTTTAGGGAAAAAAATACAGCCATGGTTCTCTAACTTTAGCATGTAGCCAAATCACGTGGGAGGGCTTACTAAACTGCAGACTGTTGTGCCCACACCCAGAGTTTCTGATTCATTAGATCTGGGGTAGGGAGTCCAAGAATTTCTACTTCTCTCAAGTTCCCAGGTGATGCTGATGTTTCTGCTGCTGGTCCAGGGAACAAGCATTGGGAACTACTGGAATACGGCATTGGGGGGAAGGCAGTTGAGATGAGCACTGAGACCCTTTTCTTAGTTTAAGTTTTATCAGAAATTTGTATCTATTGATATAAATAGATAGATAGAGAGAGAGAGAGAGATGATAGATATAAGTTAGAAAGATAGAAGGTCAGATTGGACGAGTCGTTCAATAATCACAGAGATAGCGAGTCTTACCATTATTATTATTATTATTATTATTGCTATTACTACTACTATTGCTGCTTCTGCTATTATTAGTTGAGTCTGGAAGACATGGAAAATAATTTGAAACTATGTAAGAGTTTTCACAAAGGCACGGCCACCAATATTTGCAAGTTATGACAATGCCAGTAGTGTTCCCGTATCAGGAGGTGACCTCAGATCAAACTTAAAAATCAGTCTTGAATAAAAACAAACAAAACAAAAAACGTTTTATGGGACACCCCACATTTCTGTTCTGTAGACACATTAACACATACAAAGGCTCATTAAAACAAAGTTCAGACTGGTTTCATTACCTTCTAAATTTGGATAATTTGTTACTTCTTTTTATATAGACAAACTAATTTATTTTCCCCAGAATCATTTTAATCATTTAAATATTTTATAAACTAAGCTTTGTCCATCTTCCACCTGCCAGGTAATACCTTTTATACCCAACCTCCACCCTCACCCCCTCTTCCAAAGGCTACTGGTATCTGTTACTGAGCATTAAAGGGGTTTGTTCTCTA